TCGTGAGGTGTCAAAAGATTCCCATGCCTACTTTATATTATATATTCATTATATTTAAATCTCCAGCAGGGGGCGACAGCTGAGTTTGTACCGTAAAACCTCTAATAAACCTTTAATAAACCTCTAATAAACCTCTAATAAACCTCTAATAAACCTCTAATAACTGCCCGGTGTTTTATTCCTCTCTCTCTGTTTATAAATCATCAGTTTGAATTTCAATAAAGAGAGGAGGTCGGTGGGGAGAGAGGGAGTAAAGAGGGATGTATTATTTATTTTAACATGTGGTATGTGATCCTTAATGAATGTGGATGTTGAGGCAAACCAGTAAAATATTTTAAAGGTTTAACGGTAATTACGGTATCCCACCTTGTGATTGTGAATGTGTCAGAACAACGAGTTAATTTATTTCAACATCACACTGAAAACAGAATAAATAACTTCTAACTTCACTAAAACAAATACTGAGGAGACTTTATGGACGTTGTCATGAAAATAAAAGTGTGTGTACTATTTAAACTCATCTCTCCTCACCTGTTGTTGCACACTGAGTGATTGTGAAGGTCTGTGTCTGATGTCAGAGCTGAATGGCGGGAAGAGAAGCATCAGACGAGGAGGAGAGAGAACGCCGTCGGCCGTTTTGTGTCCCGTCAGGCCCGCCGTGTCTTCCACCGAGGAGGCCGACATGAGTTCTTCCCAACAGGTGAACTGGTCTGAACCGTGGTTGGATAATGCTATCGCTAGCAAAGTACCTAAAATATATCGGTGTCAGTTCAAGAAAATGAGTCATCTTCCATGTTTGTTCTCGAAGCTTCGTGGGAAGTTTATTTTAAAGGTGTAAGAAAACGTAATATATTAACTTTTTGTTATTTCTGTGAACACAAAATCAAATAGTTATTTTTTTAAGTTTAGATTATTATTTAAGATCTAAACTCTGAAGAGCTGAACACAGTCGAGTATTTAAAGAAGTCATGAGCTTGCTATATTTAAATAATCTATTAAAAAGTTAAATTAAGTAAAACTGATTTAGTTTCTTTTCCACTGATTTGAGTCATTTATTCTATAAAAATAGTGAAACATTGCTTCCCGCCCTCCACAAACGTCTGCTTCTGTCTCTGTCGCCATAGAAACCAGGAGGATCGAAGAGGCCCAGACCTCACCGCTGCCAGCAGTGTGACAAAGTCTTCACCTCCACACACCACCTGAAGGATCACCAGAGTGTTCACACGGGAGAGAGACCCTACCACTGTGACCTCTGTGGGAAAGCTTTCACTCAGTTAAGCAGTTTACGGACTCACCGTCGCATCCACACGGGAGAGAAACCGTACAGCTGCGACCAGTGCGGGAAGTCTTTCACTCAGTCCAGTACTTTAAAACTCCACCGGCGCAGACACTCTGGAGAGAAACCGTACAGCTGCCAACAGTGCGGGAAGAGCTTCGCCGATTCATTCTCGTGCCAACAACACCAACACGTCCACACCGGAGACAAACCGTTCCAGTGTCCGCTCTGCTCCAAAACCTTCCTCACACGGTCCAATCTGACGAGACACCGGCGCATCCACACGGGGGAGAAACTCTACACCTGCGAGCTGTGTGGGCGGAGCTTCAACCACTACTCATCGTACACAGTCCACCAACGGATCCACACGGGAGAGAGACCCTACCGGTGTCGCTTCTGTGACAAAACCTTCACGTCATCGACCAACCAGGCCGACCACGAGCGGGTCCACACCGGGGAGAAACCCTACAGCTGCGACCAGTGCGGGAAGAGTTTCAGCCACATCACCACCTGCCTGCTGCACAAGCGCGTCCACACCGGGGAGAAACCGTACCAGTGTCAGTACTGCAGCAAAACCTTCATCACGTCGTCGAACCTGTCGAGACACGTGCGCACTCACACCGGAGAGAAACCGTACTGGTGTGAACGGTGTAAGAAACACTTCTCCTTCTCCAATCAGTTGAAGAGACACCGCTGCGTCTGAACTCGAGTCACACTAACTTTATTTACATCAACATATTTTCACATGAGCTGGTTTTGGCCTTTTTCAACAGTTTGAACTTAAAGTCTCCACGAAGGGAAGCGGAGAGCTGTTAGCTTCCTCATATTTACTGTTTCCTGTAAAACAAGCAGCTATGGAGGGACTCGTGAGGGATATTGATTACCGTTTACAGCAGCCAATAGAATGTGTGTTACCTCCAGCATCCCGGGGCTGAGGCAGTTAGTTTAACTGCACAGCTGTCCGAGCTAACAGCAGTTAGCGGTTCGCTACTTATACTGTTTATAATATTTCCATCAGGAGACTCTGTGAATGACCTCAGTACTGTAACGTACAAATGTAATATCTCCATCCAGTTTTCTGTGTTGTTTTCCACCGTTTGAGCTTCAACCTGCACACGATGATAATAATGTTCTTGTTGTCTCTTCTTCTGGTTCTCTGACTGGAGACTCGCCTCGTGCTGCTAAAGATGAACCAACTCTTAATAATCACATAACGACTGGATGAAAACCAGCTTTCATTCACATTTTCTTCTGTTTAATTACTCAAAATTCACTTTAAATGACACATTTTGATGGGAACTCGAGTACTGTTGAATGTTGGACTGTGTGACTCTTTAATGTCTCTTTACTGGTTCTTTAATTATCTAATAATGTCCTAATAATTAGGGCTAAAACGATTAGTTGATTAATTGATTAGTCATTGAACAGAACATTAATTAATCAGTCACTTCAGGAGTGTTTTTGGGATTGTCGAGTCATAAAATGTCTAAACATGTTTTTTATTTACAGATTATTTATATATTGAATATTATTATTCAATATTGAAATGATTGGTTGCTGGAAAAGACACGTAAGACATCAATAAACCTTTTTATGTACTTTTTTGTATGTTTATGTTAATTTTAAAAACATAATGTACCAAATAAACAGCTTGAAAAGAGACTTTAAGGTGTAATAACTTTATATAATTTCATCTGTAATCATTTATAAAGGGATCATATGATTAAAACTAATAACTAAAGCTTTAAAGCAATGTAGTAAAGTTCAGTATTTCCCTCTGAAGTGTGGTGGAGTAGAAGTATAAAATGGATAAAGTTAAATACAATGTTTTGTTATTTCTTTGTTTATTATAAAGTTTGATTCGTACATACATGTGAACATGTGAAGTGTCGGTATGAGTGTTATTATAAAAGCAGAAGAGGTGCAGTGCTCTTCAGCTCCAGCAGGGGGCAGAGAAGGTTTGATAATGAGAATACGATCCAGTGAAAGAGGAAACAGAATTTGTTTGATGAAGAACTAACATTTCCCCGCTTCTGCAAATCAGGTGACGCCCAGATATTTCTGAATATTAGAGATTATAATAATAATAATAATAATACAAAAGGACAAACACACACATAAAAGAACAAAATAACGACACCAACTCAAAACAATGAGTTAAAAAGCAGCAAGATCTAATTATTTCTATTATGATTATTGATTATTGATTCAATCACCTACATATAGAATAAAGCTTTAGAGTTTATACACTGTTTAATGAGGAGATCTTACAGATTATAGCTTTAACTACATTTATATTAACTATTGCTTTTAGCATGAACTTTTATAATAAAACATTAAAAAATTGCAAAAATAGAGATCTTAAGGGAAATTAAAGAAAATTAATATAACTAAAACAGTTTTAATTTTTCTTTTTAATGTTTAAAGATATTTACACACAATTAAAAAAGAAAAAATGAAAAACAATGAAACTACCTATAAATACAGACGAACGCTATATATACTATACTATAATACAAAATACTCTTTACAGCAGAGTGCTTTAGTTGTTGGATTTTATTACTTTTAACTCTGAAATGTTAAAAGTTAGAGAACTGTAATAAAAGTTCATTATCTGTGAAAAATTACCAGTATTATTGCTGTTTACAACTGATAAAAACTGTATTTGGACTAGTTTTACCAAGCTCATACACTGATAAACAACTTTATTCAACTTCATCATTATACAACATATCTGTCAGTTTACTAATCCATTAAATTTATACAACTAATACTTTTACTGTTAATGTCACTGATTTAACATAATTTAAGAAATATATAACAGTATTAAACTGAATTTAAACAGTTTATATAAATAAACTGTAAAATCGCAAAAATATATAGATTTTGCCAATGTATTTTATGTAATTTTATGATTATTTACAGTCCAGATTTTTCATATTATTTTACATTGAACATTAACATTCTTTGTATTTAAAAATTACAAATAACATTGTCAAATAGACGTAAACATACAGAAGTTTTTACTTCCCAGTAACAGATCTGATCACACACAGGAGCGGCTGTTCAGCATCAGGGAGAGTGGGAGGGAGGTTATTGTGGTGATTACAGGTTAATGAGCAGGGCAGTACCACACTCACACACTCACACTCACACACACAACACACACACACACACACACACACACACACACAGGAACAGAAAGTTAAATCACAGGTTTGACTGTGAGTCTATAAACTGAGGAATCTGTTAAAGCACCAATCAGGCTGCTCCGCCCATCAGTGTGTGTGTGTGTGTGGTGTGCGCGTCTAAAGCCAGATGTTCAACACACAAATCAGTTCAGACAGACGACCGCCCCCTTTCTCTCTCCTCTTCCTGCAGGTGACGCTGCAGGAGGTCGGTCAAAGGTGGAGCTGAAAGAAGATTCATTGATCTGAGTGTCAGCGTGCGGTGGAGGTGTTACCTTCACTGATACAGTACATAGTAAATTAATAGAGTTGTTTCACATCTCAGAGGAAACTTTAGCTTTAGATTCTTTATAAATGAATTTTTTTTACACACAGAAAGACTAAAAGACTGAATTTATTAAACTTACATAGACATATTGTTTGTATATTATATATTAAAACTGAACAATGAACCCAAACAGTGAACTCAGTAATGATGGATCAATACTGAGCAGATTATTTCCTGTTAAAAAATCTTAATAAACTGATGTACAATACAAACAGTATGTAAATGTGTTCATATGATAAACGTCTGTAAATCTTCATCAGTCGACTGTGAACTGCTGACAGAGACGGATTGAATTATTAACTTTATCAATACAAATTAAAAATGTCAGTAAAAACAAACATATTTACAGAATCAGATAAAACTGCATGTGACAATATGAGTCGTTCAGAAGAGACTGAGAGAAATCTATTAACAATATTAAAATAATGAGTATTATTTTGTATTTGGTCAAATTAAACTTTTAAGTGTCGATTGTTTTCCTTTAATAACAGTCTGTCCCTCCAGGAAGTCAGTTAATCATCTTCCAACCAATCACAGCGACTCTTCTGCGTCACATTTATCCTCCAAACACTTTGATTTTATTCTCACTGGAACAAGTTGAACTTTCACTGCAACAAAACTAGTTTTAAACAGCTGCAGTGAAATCAGACGTTTTAATGCTGCAACAATCCCTAAAATATATCAGATACAGATCCTGAACCTCCGTCTAATCCTGATCAGGTCCTGGATCAGACTTCAGACGTTACCGTGACTGAAAGATCCGTTTTAATGTTTGAAATTAAAACACTCTTTTAATTTTTAAACTGGTTGTAAAGCTCCTTTATGCCGCTGTTTATAGAACAACAATCAGTGAGAAATAAAGGGAAAAAAAGAACAAAGAGAAACAGAAACAAATATTTAACCTCAACAAAAGCAGTTCAGTGAATGTTTGAACCTGCAGACCAACTGCAGGACTGACGGAGGTCGGAGGTCACAGTTCAGCCCGTCGTTCTCAGAGCGAGTTTATCGTCTGTCCACCTGCAAGTAAACCTCCTGCTGCTTCCTCTCGGAGACCCTGTTTGTTTGTTTGTTTGTTTGTTTGTTTGTTTTCCTTTAAAAGAAACTGAAGGTCCTTTAAGTGTCCTCGCTCTGCTGCGACGTCATCGACACGCCCCCTGTCTCAGCGTGACATCATCAACAGCGATCTGTCCTCGCCGTCCTTTCCTCCGCTCGGCCTTCAACAGCACCTGCACACACACACACCTGCTGTCAACAACAACAACAACAACAACAACACAAACACACAAAACAAATCAGTTCCTGTGTGTGCGTCTCACCTTGTTCAAAGAGCGCGTCGTCAAGGTAACCTGTGTGTGTCTCCAGCCGTGCCCACCTGTCCGGCTCCAGAGGGCGGGGCTATACCTGTCGACAGGAGGAGGAGTTATTGTTATTGTTGTTATTATTGTTGTTGTTGTGTCTGCGGCGTACAGTCTGCTCCGCTACCTTTGGTCTGCGTCCGCTTTTCCTGACAAACAGCTGAAGCACGCCCACCTGATGCCCCGTCAGCCAATGAGAGAAGGAGAAACACAGGTCGCCGTGGCTCCAGGGCGGGAATATCTGGACGGCCAGTCGGGCGCCGCGGACGCTCCTCTGACCCGCCTTCAGCTCCGGCACCGACAGGTAGCGCCCACCTGAGAGCCCGTTAATGACGCAGTTCAACTAAAAAGTACAGCGACTACTTCTACTCCATTACACCTGACCCCCCCTCGCCTCACCTTTAATGTGTAACAGTGAACAGAGAGCTTAAATAACAATCAAAGATTTAACCTGCGGGGTTGTGAACAGTCGCCCAGTGGAGATCTCCTTCTCTGTCGGACATCCAGTCACACAGGCCGTGATCAAAGGTACACCGGAGAGCCCCGACCTCTACACACACACACACAGAGACA